AAGAGGGAGCAGAGCAGCACAACCTCACACTTCCCCCCCTTTCCCCCCTTCCCTCCCTCCATGTCCCCTGATGCTCCTCCTGTCTTCCTAACCAGGACTTTCGCTCCCCTCTGGGAAGTTTTCCGCATCTCCTCGGATAAGTTGGCGCTCTGCCACGCGGAGCTGGTCAAGAAGCTGCAGGACCTCATCAAGGAGATCAGCCGCTACGGGGACGAGCAACTGCGTGCCCACAAGAAGGTGCGCGTTGGTGTGTGTGTGTGTGCAAGCGCGCGCGTTCAGAGCCCTATCTTTATCCTGTCTGCGGTCCCGTTCCCGCGCTCACTTTGCCGTAACTTTGGGCTCCCACGGAGCCGTAACCTGCGGATTTTTCTCCCATTTCTCTCCACCCTGAAGTCAAAGGACGAGGTGGCGGGCACCTTAGAAGCGGTCCAGATCCTGCAAGGCGCCGCTCAGCACCTCCCTAAGGTCAAGGAGAGCTTCCACAGCCGTTATCAAGAGCTGGAGCGGCTGCGCCGGGAAGGGGCCAGCCAGAAGGAGATCGACAAGGTAGCTTGCGGCATGTGGACCATCGGGGGCCCGGTGGGCGTTTCCTGGTGGGGATGCCCGAGAGGACCCCCCCGGTGGGTCTCCCCCCCTCTCAGCCTGCCATTTGTGTGTTTGTTCTCCTTCCCCCCCCCCCCCCAAAAAAAAGGCTGAGATGAAGTCCCAGAAGGCGGTGGAGACCTTGCGGCGGGCGGTGGAGAAATACAACGCAGCGCGGAACGATTTTGAGCAGAAGATGCTGGATTCGGCCGTGGTAGGGACGGGCAAAAGGGGGGGCACCGGAGAGTCCCTGGGTATTTCCTGGGGGAGGAGAGGCTTCCCTTCTCCCTACGAATCTATTTATTTGTGGATCTCGGGGGCAAATTCACAGCGGGAACATAAATCTAGACCCTGCTTCTTCTTCTTCTTTCTTTTCTTTTCTTTTTTTCTTTCTTTTTTAAATTTTTATTTATTTATTTTTTTGCATTGAACTGAGCCCTTGGCTGTCCTCACAGTAACCTTGCAAGGTAGGCTGGTCCGTCTGACTCCAGACACGTCTGCCCGTTAAAAGCTGGAGCCCAGTCTCTTTTTATCTTGGCTTTTTCTCCCCCNNAGCGTTTGCAGGAGGTGGAAGAATCTCACCTGCAGCATATGAAGGCCTTGATCAGCAACTATGTCCACTCGGTGGAAGACACCCATGTCCAGATCGGGCAGGTGGGCCGAGGGAGGAAGGGAGGCAGATGGGTCGGGTGGGGAAGCGTGCAGAGAGGGTGGCCACAGGAAAAAGCCCCCTCGAAGTGGTGGAGGGCTAGCGGAGAGGGGAGAGTGGATGGGTGGGAAAAGTGGAAGAGGCTTATAAGGGGCAGCTGACCTAAGACGGGGAAAGTAAGAGATGAACGGAAAACTTCCTCGTTTCTGGGTCAGTCTCTTGGCTGTGACCCTGTGCCATGGGTTGGAAACCTGTGGCCTCAGCCCTGTTTTTTTTTCTGACCCTTCAGAGGCTCAGAAATCAGAATGTGTTGACACCGGAGTTGTCGGAATGCAGATTTGCATCCGAGGGATTCAGGAGAGATTTCTCTTGTCCCAAAAAAGGAAACTTCGAGGTTGTTGTTTTTTTTGGGGGGGGGTGATCAAAAGAGGGACTGGAGGTCTTTCCCTGGGGAGACGTCCCAGCGGTCGCCTTTTCTCTCTCCCTCCCCCCTCCCCCCCCGGCCTCCTTCGGCAGGTCCACGAGGAGTTCAAGCAGAACATGGAGAACATTGGGGTGGACACGCTGCTTTGCAACTTCGCCGAGAGCAAAGGGACCGGTTGCCACCCGCCCGGTGAGCGGCCTTGGCCCCAGCGGGGACTGACATATCCTTGAAAAGGGGGGGGAGGAAGGAAAGAAATTGAGTTGGGGATTCTGGGCCTCATAGTCCCCCCCAGGGGGTATTTCTGAGATCGAGGGTTTGTCGCAGTTTTGGGTTCCTGAACTTGAACAGCGTTCTGTGTGTTCCTGTGAAAGATCAAACCTGGCGGATTTTCTTCGCGTGCAACTCCGAGAGGCAAAGGACTGGAAAGCCCAGAATCCTGGGCCCGCTCTTGCCCTCCTGGTGATCCTGCGTTTTTTCTCCCTCCTCCAGGGCCACTGGATTTTGAAGAGCTCAGCACAATGCCAGCGCAGG